ATGGGGAAAAGTGTGGGCAACTATTGAGCTCATGGGCATGAAGAACAGACAGAAAGTATACTTGGCTGACATTGAAGACCAATGCATATTAGGAATGGACTATTTAATACCGAGGAAGTGTGTAGTTAACTTCGATAAACTGACGATTGGAAACAACAAAGCCCAAATTCCAGTAAGTGCTGCTATAGCTGTTGATTTGCATGTCACAGCACTTAAGTCAACTACAATACCCCCTTTGTCAGAGAAGATAATTTGGGGTAGGATAAAATAACATCCCCAAGGAAGCCCAATGCTTGTGGAAACAGTGGAAGACCCATCCAGGCCAGCAGATTTGAAGATTGGAAGGTCATTTGTGGCAGGCCATCAAGTAGTACCTATAACAGTGGCCAACTTCTCTAAATGTGAGCAGACACTTAAGGAAGGGGTATCGTTGGGTGTGTGCCAGGAGGTAGAGCCAGTCAATATTAAACAAGAAATACAATCATAAAGAAAGGATATACACTCCCAGAATATATAACTGATCTCAAAAAATAAAGAGCACAGTCCATTTGTCATCATCACGGGCTCTTCAGGTTAGGGAACTCTTGACGAATTATGCAGACGTCTTTTCGAAAGGAGATCATGACCTCGGCTGCACAGACCTTGTAGAGCACAGAATAAGCACAGGCAATCACCGTCCAATAAAGATCCCCCAAGAGGAATAGCTCCGGCAAAGCGACAAGAGATAGAGAAGGTCATGGATGGTCTAATTAAGGAAAGGATAGTCGAGAAATCAGATAGACCCTAGTCCACTCCCATTGTGTTAGTTCAGAAGAAGGATGGGACCCAACATTGCTGTGTGGACTTCAGGGCTCTTAACATTATAACCGAAAAAGACTCATACCCACTGCCAGGAATTGATGATAATCTCGATGTCCTAAGTGGAGCCAGGTGGATTTCAACTCTGAACTTAAAGTTAGGTTTCTATCAAGTAAAAATGGCTGAAGCAGATAGACCTAAGACAGC